GGACGGGGCGCCTGCAAACCCGTCAGAGGCGCAGGCTCCGCGTCCGCTTCGCGCCCCGGCCTGCTGTTGCGGCTCCACGCAAACACACCTCCACCGGCCCGCCCGTCCGCGCATGTCGGAGCAGCGGCCCCCCGCCACATTCTGAGCGGAGCCTGCGCCCAGCCAACGTGAACCCCTCAACCCCGAACCCCCCCCCACCTGCGGGATCCTCAGCGTGACGTCATCGCCGCCAGCTCCCGGCGTGAAGTTCTTCTTCCTCAGCGCCCCTATGTCCCACACCCGCACGGTCTGGTCCAGCGACGCGCTGACCACCAGGTCATCTTTGGGGTGGAACCCCGCGCACATGACGTAGTGGTTGTGCCCCGTCAGCACGCTGACGCAGTTGCGCGACTGCCAGTTCCAGATGCGGATCGTCTGATCGTCGGACGCGGACACGATCCAGGGGTTCTCGGGGTGGAACTGCACCGTGCGGATGTAGTCCAGGTGGCCCAGCAGCGTGAACAGGCAGCGCCGCAGCTTGTAGTTCCACACCTGCGTCATGGTGACGTCACCGGCGGCGGGTGTCAAGATTGACGAGCGTCGGATGCTAAGAGTGAGGTGGGAGGAGACAACAGGGGGGAGAAACGCGGCGGTGCGCGGGTCGTGCGCGGCACGCACGGGCGCCTTGAGGCGGCGAGACCGGGGACTGCAGGAGGCGGAAGGGCGCCGCTGCGCGAGGCGGATGGCGGGGTCGCTGCGGCGTGGTGAGTAGAAACAGCTGCGAGGGGCACAAGCATGCGGGCAGCACCTTGATCTTGTAGTCGTCGCCGCCGCTGACGAAGAGCGGCTGGCTCTTGTGGAAGTGGATGCCGCGCACAGGGCCGTCGTGCTCGTCGAAGCGGTCGATGAGGGTGCCCATGCGGTAGTCCCACAGCTGATGTGGCAGAGGTCGCGGGGCGCGACGAGGAGGTTTGGGGGATCCCGCGGGAGGGAGGGGGCCGTCAGCGGCAGGGTTGCTTTGCATGATCGGATGCGCAGTGTGCGCCCTGCGACGGCTGCATGCTCTTTCAGCCGCTGCTGACACTACTGTTGCGGATGCTTGTGCCGCTGCTGGTGCTGCTGGTGCTGCTGGTGCTGCTGGTGCTGCTGCACCCGCTGCTGCCGCAGTAGCCCGTGATGCTGCTGCTTCTGCCGCTGTTGCTGCCACTGTGATATATTCATTGTTTGGGATCTTGATGCTGCCGGCGCGACTGCAGGCCGGGCTGTGAAAAGGCACCGGACACGGGACGTGCGCTCAGCTAAGAGGCGCCTCCGCCGCAGTCGCCACACCGCCGCAGCATACGCAGCTGCCGCTGCCACGCCCGACGCCGCCGCCCGGCCTGAGGCGCGCACGGGCCTGTCGTCCCTGCATGACCCGCTTGCAGCGGCGGCTGCGTGGGTGTCACCCGGCCCCGTCCCCCCACCTGGATGACGCCGCTGTGCAGCGACGCCAGGATCCATGGCCGCTTGGGGTGGAAGGACAGGCCCTTCACCCTGTTGCTCTTGGTCTCAAATTTAGTCAGCATCGCGGCAGGAGGCCCCCGGCCCGCCCCGGCCCGCGAGGGGTTCTGACAGGGCGGCGCGTGAGCGGAGCGAGTGGGTGCGCGCGCGGGCGGGCGGCGCTGGTTGCGGTTGCTGATGGGCAGTGCTGTCGGCATCGGTGCCGGTGCCAGTGCGCAAGGAGCGATGGCGCGGACCCCTGGGGCGCTGGCGGTCTGCTTCTCATACTCACTGAACCCAACACGGATTTGATCCATCGATAAGCGTGTGTCTGCGGCATCACAGCGTTCCCTACCTCCACAACCAGCCAACCTGCACTGCAGATCGATCCATTGCCAGATGGTTGGACATTGCACAGCCAGCTCACCTGCTCTTATCACGTTAAATAGAGCCACTAGACGCTTTCAGGCTCCTCCCGAGGTCCAGCTCCGCCGTGCAGCAACGAACACCTTGGCAGATCACCTCCTTTCGCTGGCTATCATTCAGCTCCGCCTAAGAATATATCCGCTCCTCACAGCGCGATCACACACGACTGGTCTTCCTGTGATCCCCATGCCTCCAAGTACCCAGCTGCCGACCAGCTGCCGGAGCACGCTGAGTGCGCTACAACTCTCGGCGACATCGTTTTGAGAAGGATCGTGTGGTTTTTGTTTGACCAACGATCGCGCTCCTGACTCCTCGTCCAGCCCACTGGTCTGTGCTGCACAGCCAGCCCGCCATCACTCGACACCCTCCCTTGGATCGCATAAAAGGGTCGCATAACAAGGTTGAGAATTCAAACTTCACCGTGGCAGTGGCCATGGAGGGCGCCAAGCCCAAGCGGAGCGTGGAGGACGTTTGGCGGGAGCTCAACGCGCCGCGCCCCGTCGTACGCAGCGCTGCCGCGTCAGGCATGGCCACGTTCGGGATCCCAGGCGTGACGACCCACACACGCATCCTGCCCCGGCATCCGCCAACTGGGAGTGCGGCCGCCCCGGGGGCTCAGCAAGGCGGCGACGCCGGCAGCAACGCAGTGCCCACGACGACAGCGCCGCCCTCCGAGCCGCCGTCCGCGCCCTCCTGCTCGCCTGAGCAAGCAGGCGTAAGCGGTGCGGAGCTGCAGTCCTACCTGGCGGGCATGCAGGTGAGACCGAAACAGTCGCCCGAGGCCGTGCTGGCGGGCAGTCCAGAGCCAAGGCAGGGCAGCTGCTGTGCTGGCCGCACTGTGCTGCCCTCCCCCTACAGTCACGCAAGGCGTGCCCTCGGTTGCCGACCCCGCCGCCACGCCCGCCGCGGCCCCCCCGCCGCCGCAGCGGACCATCAACTGCCTGACAGACCCCGACCGCTCCACGCGGCGGTCTGCCATCGACGCTATCTCGGCCAAGCTGCTGCGCGGCGACGCGGCCTCGCCGGCCGCGGCGCCGCAGATGCTCCAGGTGCGCTGGACTGCCGTCGCATGCCGGCGCATGCACCGTGCCGCAAGCCGGGACCGCCGCCTCTTGGCGCTGCATGCAACCCCTCGCATGCATGTCGGATGCATGCAACCCCTCGCATGCATGCAGGACGCATGACCCACGCCGCCCCGCCCGCCCTGCAGGCCGCGCTGTGCGGGCAGCTGCTGCAGCCGCTGCTGGCCATGCTGGGGGACCCCGTGGAGCGCTGCCGCGCCGGCGCGCTGCAGCTGCTGCTCGAAGCGAGTGCGCGCGTGCCGCAGCTCGAGCCGCTGCTGCCGCCGCTGCTCGGCGCGCTGGGCGCGCGGGTGGGGCAGCTGCCGCCCCTGGAGCCCGCGGAGGAGCTGCGGCTGCAGGCGGCGGCGCTGGTGGGGCGAGCAGTGGAGCGCGCGTCACCCAGGTGGGTGCAGCACCAGCGCCGGTGCCTGGCGTCGACAGCGTTCGGGTGCAATGATTGCAAGGCGGGGTGCCGAATGATGGTTAGAACAGGCCGCCTTGCTGGCCAGGCTGTGTGGTGATGTTCCCGCTCTGCCGCCGAGGGGATCGCGGCTGTGTGCCAGGCCGCGGCCCCGCGCTGAAGCTTGAGGCCCGCCCTCTGATGCATGCTTGCACCCTGTCGCGCGCCGCCGCGCAGCGCGCTGGCGGCGCAGTCGGGGGAGCTGTGTGGGCTGCTTGCGGCGGGGCTGGCGGACCCCTACCACGAGATCAAAAAGTCGTCGGCGGCCGCGCTGGCGGTGCTGGCGGGGCGCGTGGAGCCGGCGGTTCTTGAGTCGCACGCAGAGCGGTTGGTTCAGGTGCGCAACCGTGCAGGTGGCGCACACACGCATCTGTATGTGCCGAGTGTGCGTTGTTGACAGACTCGCGTGCGTGCGGCCGTGCATTGACGCGTTAAGTTTGCACGCGCAGCTTGCTTTGAGCGCACGTAGATGATGCGATTGTGGTTGGATCTTGCCGAACGCACATCTTTCGACACCACCCCCTCCGCTTCCACGGTTTGCTGGCCGCCAGGTGCTGACGGCCGGCCTGAGCCACCCGCACAGCCGCGTGCGCCTGTCGCTGCTGTCTGCGCTCGACGCGCTGCTTTCCGTAGGCGCGGTGCCGCAGCAGCTGGTGCAGGGTGCCGTGGCGCCGGGGGTGCGGCCGCTGGCCGCGGACCGGGCGTCTGCGGTGCGGGAAGCCTTCTTCGCTGCAGCAGCCCGTTGGATGGGGGCGGGCGGCGGCGGCGGCGAGGCGGCGGGGGCGAGGGCGCAGCTGCACGCGCCGCTGCTGCTGCCGCTGCTGCTGCTGGGCGTCAGCGACGAGTCAGGGTCTGTTGCTGAGCTGGCGCTGGCTCAGGTGGAGGCTGTTGGGGACGCCTGGCAGTTTGGCAGGGGCAGCGGTGACGCGGCTGCGGCAGGGGCCGGGGCGGCGGCGCCGATGGAGAGCGGCGAGGAGGCTGTGGCGGCGCCGATGCAGGTCGATGGATGTGGCAGCTTATCATTGAGAGGGGACGGGGTTGAGCAGGCCGCTGACACAGGAGGCGAAGCTGCGGTGCAGCAGGCGGCGGTCGCGGCTGCGGCGCTGCCGCCGCCGTACAGGGGCCTCCCCGGCGCCGGCGCGCGCGCGATGGGCGCCGCGCTGCTGCCTGAGCTGCTGCCGCCGATGCTGCGGGACCTCCGGGAGTGGACGGCGGCGCTGCGGCTCTCGGCGGCGCGCGAGCTGCACGCGCTGCTCGTGCTG